CTGAGCTAGATGACCTGGGCCTGCCGTGGGGGTGCTACTGCAGGGTAGATGTACTTGCAGTTGCCCCCACAGTCTGATGCTCTGGTCGTTTTCCCAGCCTTCTGGAAAAATGTTGTGAACTTTACTCTTCCCCAGTCACCTCCGCGATGTGCTGACTTGGAAAGCTGGTCTGGAATCACTGACCTGCTAATGCTCAGCACACCAATCTAGGCAACAAACATTCGGGTGGAATCAGAGTACTTGTTTCTCCTGCCAATTTAGGCAACAAACATTCGGGTGGAGTCCGAGTACTTGTTTCTCCTGCCCACGCCCTGATTTACTGTATGGTGTCTGTGCTGTGCTGAACACGCTGGGGAAATCCCACTTCACACAGGGCTCACATGCCTGCTGCAGATCTCTGGGTTGTCTGATGCCTGAGGCCCAAATCCAGGACACCACTGTGTCTTGTCCCATAAAACAAACCAAAATGTGCCACTGGGGACCCGACGGGCTCAGGGGACTCAAAACACAAGGCAGAGCTAGAAGTGCTTCAACCTGGGTCAGTCATGCATGCTCCCAACAGCTCTGCAGTGGCCTCTGTGACATAAACTCATGGCTCTTAGTCCAGTTCCTAGTGCCTGTCACAAAAAACACCCTCAGAGGTGGCACTAATTGGCCCACAGCTGACAATCCCTGCAGAGAGGTTGGGGATTGCTCTAGCCAGTGCTGAGGCATACTGGCAGAGCATGGTGGGTAAGGGCATCCCATGCCCATTGTACCTTCCTGGAGCTAAACAGATCTGTCTCCTGGGCTGGGTCACAGCCTGCATTCCAAAACAGGACTTTCCTGCCACGCCGCCTGCACTGAGAGGAGATGGGAGCTTTCCCTGCCCCCGTCCATCCTTGGCGTGTTTTCTTATTTCTCAGCCTCCCTTCCCTGGTGGTGATTTCACCATAGAGTCTCCCCTTCACCCAGCAGACAGGCTGCTGCTGGCCCCTTTGGGCCCAGATGAAACAGTCTGGAGCAACAAGGCCCTTTAAGGCCACAGAGCCAATTTCAGTTTAATTGGCAGGACAATAAAGTGTCACCAAAGTCAATACACCATGGACCTGTCAGAGCAGACATCCTGGTGCTACAGATATAGGGTCTGCTATTCCCTTTCTACCTTTGCACCTCTGAGGCCGGGTGAGTGGGAGCTGAGATTAACTTGGCTCTCCTACTTCACTGCCTGCTTCTGCCCCTCTTGCTTCATTGCATCGTTCAGTGGTGAGTGCAGACTGTGGGCTTTACTATTATTGTTTGTATCACCATAGCACCAAGGCGCCATAGTCATGGAGAGTGATCCCGCTGCGCTGGGTGCTGTACAAACACAGAGCAACAGGCTGCCTCCACCCCGAACTGTTCCCCTCCTTTGCAAACATGTCTGTAGCAGAGGTGACAGAGTCCCACCTATAGTGCTTGTGCTGGGTGTTTATAGAGTGCCCCTGTTAGTGGTATCTGGGTGTATAGCCAAACAGCCCCTCTGCAGCGCTTGGCTGGGTATCTCAGCGGAGCTCCTCAGGGGTTCTTTGCAGCTGGGGGCGAGAGTGCAGAAGGTGGCATGCGCTGCGGCCCTACGTTGAG